TTGAAGCTGCTATGTACATTCCCAGTCAGTTTCTGGCCTGTCCAGACAGGCTCGTCTACTTTGACCCGTCCCAGCAAAAAGCGTGGCCTTTCATATCGTGCGTAACGGCCGTCCAATGACACGTAAATCCCCGGGCCATTTTCGGCCACTGCTGCATTTGACGAGAATTGGTGCTTTTGGGGCAAGTGTGCATGCTTCAGCTGCGTGGGCTATTGCGCAGAGCTTTCTTCTTCTCGAAGCTGCCTGCAGGGCCCCTTGTTGACACAATGGGCAAGAAGGCTCAGGCGCAGGCCAAGTTGGAGAACGAAGCGCTGCAGAACCTCGCTGCTGACCGCCGCTGTGGCGATGGGTGTTTCCACTGACGTGGCAGCTGGCTTGCTGTCCTCTGCGCAGAAGCTTGCAGCTGAGCAAGGTGCCTGCGACAGGCTCTGGCTCTGGTGACCTCCCGGAGCCCAAAGCAAAGGCTGACGCCAAGAAGCCGGTCAAGTCAAGGGCAAAAAAAAAGCAAAGGCTGCTCCAAAAGCTGCTCCTCCGCAGCAGCCTTCTGCTGAGGAAGCTCCTGAGGAGGAGCTGGACCTGCCGAACTTGCCACCTCTGGCTGCGCCTGCAGCTGAGAACTCCGAGACGCCAGCTGTGCCTGAGGCTCCTGCGGAAGGGGGTACGACGGCCCCAGCTGAAGCAGCTGCCACTTCTCCTTCTGGCCTGCTGGCTGACCGGGTGAACGAGCACTCGCCTGCTGGCGCTGTTGCGGTGGCCAAGTTTGACTTGAAAGACTGGGTCAAGAACACTCCCAAGCTTCCTGCTTCGGTTGCTGTTTCGGACGGCACGGCTTTTTCATGTTGCTTGCTTGAGATCTGCTGAGACCTGGGGCTTGGGCAGGAGAAGACCGTTGAAGAAGGTCAGCCCACTGAGCTGCCTGCTCCTGCACGGTTGCCAGCCCAGCGAACTTGCAGTTCAAAGTTGTTGGGCGCAGGTAATCTGGACTCCATGCTTATAGGTCCATGGAGACATTCCTGCACACCCAGAGCTTGCTGAACGCACAACTTGCCGAGAAGAGGCATGTTCGGCAGTCGCCTTGTTAAACGCTTGCATGCATGTCGGAAATTCTGCAGTTTCCAACCCTGGCATGCATGATGGTGGCTGTGTTCGTTTTATATATATATACAATATGTCGATGTATGTATCCCGCATGATTTCTGAGCAACACGCATGCATGTTGCCATTTACAGTGTGTAGTTTTTTTCCAGACCAGAATATTCCTGCTTTCTGCCAGGGCTGGTGGCAAAGACGAGCTGAAGCACTCGCTATCTAGAGCTTGCTAAAAATCATGTGTGCCAAACATGCGTGCTAAAATGCAAAAAGCAATGCAGAGCTTGGAAAAGCACCGGATTTTGCAGCCACATTTGCTCGAGCTCTCAAGTGAGCTTCTACCTAGAGTTGGCTTCGCAAAGCCAAGCCCACTCAGCGCAAAGGAACCTTAGCAACACAAAGGCTCTAAATTAGGGCACAGGAGCTGAAAACTTGAGTCGCGCGAGGGCCCAACGACATCAACAGGCGCGCTCATCCTCTCATGTCCTGGCACACAGGGAGGAACACAAACAAACACACACAAGTATCTAGCATGCATGCACCTATAAACCTCTTGAATCCTTCCCCCTAATATTCAACCCTTATAGGATTAGATACGGGTTCACCAGAATCCCAAATTCTGAAATCTGCCTGCAAGATGTTTGGACAGGGGCCAAGGCGAAAGTTAATTGCAGCTCGGATCCTTTGAGTAGGGGGGTCTATACATATAGCGCGACTCCGAAAGATTAGGGATCTGCTTGATTTTTTGGACTTTGATTGTGTTTGACATGGTTCCTCATAGGGCCCAAATTGGAAACACATTTGAACCCTACTTGAAAAATCCCGATTAAGGCCCCAACTTGGAAGCATCCGTAATTTGAGCCAGCTTTGAAATAGTCCCTTATAAGGCCCGAATTTGGAATAGTCCCTTATACGGCCCTAATTTGAAATAGTCCCTTACAAGGCCCTAGTTTGAAATAGTCCCTTCTCAGGCCCTAATTTGAAATAGTCCCTTAGAAGGCCCTAATAGAAATAGTCCCTTATAAGGTTTTAATTTGAAATAGTCCCTTATAAGGCCCTAATTTGAAATAGTCCCTTCTAAGGCCCTAATTTGCAATAGTCCCTTGCAAGGACCTAATTTGAAATAGTCCTTTTTAAGGCCCCAATTTCAAGTATCCCTTCTTAGATTTCATCGAAATTTGGTACGGTTATAATCACCTATTATATAATCTTCTTGCTAAAAGCTATCCTTCTTGAG